GTAAATCTCCCCTGCTGAAATGCCGCGTATAGCCCTTGCCCCGACTAAAGCCCTGTGTTTTCTATAATAATATGTCCGGCCAGCGGTCGAACCTAACACCTCCAGATCAATTTTTTCTTCAAATGTGTATTTCCAGAATCGTTTACGCTGATAAGTCTGTAAACCACATCCATTGTCTTGCACTACCCTTCTACACAGCCACAGTCAGTCAGTGAGTCACTAATCACTCAATGTAAGATAAAAAATACCTAAAAAAAATTTTTTTCGCATTCAAATTTTAAGGCACGTCACGCAACAAGACCAATATGCCAATACCGCGAAGACCGAGCACCGACCAATCGGATATCGTACTTCGCATTAGATCTGTATGGATCTGTATAACTTGCAGCACATGCTTATGCTTAAATCGCGCATTTGATTTTGTAGAGAGAGACAAAAGCAAGCGCGTGCGGCTTGTGTCGAAGTAGTGCACAGACCCTTTTCAAGTGGCCCATGAATAATGTTACGCGCGGTCGCGACGAAATGACAAGTACACAATTGGTCGATTATAATGCTTTCTCAGTACAAAACAGACTCGACGCCGTGTCTTGCGGGGGCAGCGTTTGCCGGTATTGTTTCTATTTATGTGATAACATGGAAAATAAATAATGATCAAATTACTACTGCTCTTTTCTGTTAAGACAAAAGTTTTGGCAGTTCTGCAGCTCTGCAGAACTTAAGTCCAGCCGCCCCTGCTGGGTGTACTGTTGTATAATGACCATGTAAATATTTATGTAATAAATTAAACAGGGCAATTTATGCTATAAGGCAAATAAAATATACCGTTAATGAAATAGCTGCACTTACAGCTTATTATTCTCTTTTCATTCTATTCTACGTTATGGACTTTTAGTTTGGAGCTCTGCAGCTAATATACATATTGAAAAATTGTTTAAAGTTCAGAAATCTGCAATAACGTGCATTGCTAATTTAAAGCAACATGAATCGTGTAAGCCTTGCTTTAGGTCATTGAATATAATAACTTTGTATGGCTTGATTATCTATGAAAAATTAATATACTTCAGATGAAATGTATATTTCAGAGTTTTTTAAGTGTGCAGATTTTCGCTCATACAACACAAGACATTGCAATAATCTGGTACTTCCAACAAACACATGGCTATAACCAACAGTGAAGAAATCAAATTGTACAAAGCGTTGCCAGATGGGGTGAGATCGCTTCAGCTGAGCGGATTTAAATGTAATTGAAATCTGTATTAACTAGGGCCTGTATTTACAGTTTTGATAAATATTATGTTTTGGCAAGGGACAGACAGGCCTTCTTGGCTAAATTGAATGAATAATTTAATAATGTTCTTGACATTTTGCTCGACTTGTAAAATCATATTAGTATCCTTTTGTATATGAGTTTATTATAGTTAGTATACTTTTATGTCTACGATACTGCACTTTTCTTTTTTCATTACTAACATACGAGTATCTATGAATACGTGTGAATTTTTCTATGATCAATAAAGATTATTTATTTATTTATTCAAAATATGGCATTATGTGATCATCTACCTGGAAAAATGTTCCAATATAGCAATCCCAGCAGTCATTTTGAATTTTCATCTGTTATTTTTACGTTTATGTTTTTACTTTCACCACCCCAACATCCAGCTTGCTTCAAAGAATAGATGAAAGTGGAATTTTTGAAAAGCACTAAATGAGGGAAGTAAAAAACACATGAGATGCTGTATTTGAAAAGAATATGTTGCAAATTCGAAATACAAATAAAATAAACTTATTTGCGTTTGACGGATGTAATCTATTGTTGGTGTTCTGTAAATAATGACGATGTTGTCATATTGGTTTGTGAAAGGGCCACTTCCTAGAATAATCATAATAACTAAAGAATATTATTGTAACCCAAGCATACCAACCTGAAGTTGGTTTGTCCATGACGTCTGCATGCATTTGAAAATGCGTCTCAGTAACCCTTGGTATTAGTTTGAGGCTAAAATAATACCATATAGTCATATAAAATGAAATTATAGTAGTATCTATTAAATATAATATTTTTTTGCTCAAATAAAGGCTAAAAATAATCCAAATTATTTTATTTCGGAACTTACATTCGACTTCTACAAGTCTTTTTTTTCGGTAGGCAAGCTTGATAAAAATGCACTCAAAAATAATACAACAACACAATACGAGAAACAGTAACAAGGTAGTACAATACTAAATGATCACTTGATAAGTACCAAAATAGGGAACGATTTTACAGACTAGACCGCCAATCGAAATCCGACTCTGTTATTATGTAAATTTATCCCGCTACGCGCCCGCAATCATCCTTTCCTTTTTAAAGTAGCGCCGACTTCCATTGTTGATATACCTTCTGATGGGGAAACAATTGAGGGACAACAAATCCCAAATTTAAAAGAAAATGCCAGGTCTTAGCAATGTACCGGAGGGCAGCCGTGGACATTATTTTGAGAAATAGAAGGGTTATGGAAATCCCGTCATATTACTTGACCAATAGGTTAATAAAAACAGATAGATGATTTTACAAACATCCGTCTTATAAACGGATGCCGTACTCATTTCACTTATGTGACTCGATGCCGTACTCGTCCACAATCATGTGCATGAGCTCATTTCATATATGGATTGTGCAATGGAATTATTCGATGTGCTGCCGGAGAAGATCGAAACCATTGTACATTTATTTGTGTACGTACAGTAGTGCTCATCTAGCAGAAGAAATGGGACACCAGTAAGAACAGGAACGCAGAGGATCAGCGTAGAAGCTGAGATCGGATACAACAGTTAATTGAAAATGAGCCTTGGCATGTTTAGCGAATGCTTGTGTAGCTAGGACATCAGTATTCATTCAACGTGTGCAGGAGCTTTTCCAGAAGGGACTCCAATGTTGCAATCTGATGCTCCAAGAATACAGAAATGACATCTTCCGTAAATATCGCCTAATATGGGCACAAAGAAGGGCTCTTTTCAAAGTCGCAACGTATTTTATGTAAACAAAACAATAACCCATAGGATATAGATAGAATAAAACCCAAACATCACATCCATGGGATCTAATAATCACATTCAAGGATTCACTGACTTCTATTTAAATTACATAAGGCTGGTAATTTTGCATGCAGGATTAGATAATGCTGCCACTGTTTCAGTAACGCTTTTAAAACCAATAATAATGTCGAGGGCCGCCATACTTGGAATCATTATCATCATTAGACCTAGAGTTCGTTCAGGTTCATTTCAAGATTTAATGTCACATAATGTTTGCTCCTCCTATTTGGAAAGAAGAAGGTAAAGGGTGCTTAAGAGATCGTAATTTACGGATTTGGGGGTACCTACTATTTAGGATATGTGATTATCTAATTAATATTTCGAAAGGCCATAGTATCAAGACGTTTCTCATTACTATCGACAGTTCATTCACCTACTAATTTTTTGTTGTACCGTAAAACGGGATTACATTGCTCCAATTTTACGTACTATTTTAGGATTACTATAAAAACAAATCATGAAATTTAACTAAAACCCATTATTCGTTCAGTACTCACAGATTATACCTAATAGAATGAATATTTGTTGGAATTTGCATTTTAGATTGTCAACAATACATATTTTTTTAGTTGAAAAAGTGGAGCAAAGTATATCATAGCTTGGGATTACTTTGCTCCATTTAAAAAAATATGTTATAATGCATTCACCCATATAGGTGGAGCAAAGCTACGTGGCTGATTTGTCAACTTTTCTCCAAGAAACATAACTATGAAGCAATTTTTCTTCATATTTTCTTCCAAATATATGTTATTAAAAAAAATCGAACTTACGGAATAATATTCTTTATTTGTATGGACAACTCAAAATAAATCATACAAAACAAATAGGAAACATAAGAAATAATTTTAACATAGATCAAAAAGTGGTGTTAACTCAGGAACAGAGAAGGTTCCTCTTTTGGAAATTTTCTTGGGTGTAGCAATGCCGCCTAGAACGTCAGACCAAGGGTACGTTAGTTCGTCGCGTCTTGAAGGCCATTTCCACATCTTAAGGGACTTTTCCATCGCGTTTATAGTAACTTGTTCGTCATCAAAAGCTACAATTTCCCTGGGAATAATTGCCCCATATAGGAGAATACTACGAAACGACCCACTTCTCGGATCACGTTCGCAAAATGAAATTCATTTTTTTGACCTTCTATAAAACTCATAAATTCCTTTTCTATCTGTGATCTTTGTCCAACTCTTCAAAGTTGACATCGTCCGAAGAGTTGTCATCAAATACTACATCTTCATTCCTGTCTGGAAAAAGAAGCAGTAAGCTCGTCTAACGAGGTCTCTTCAGTAATTATGGATTCATCGGCGCTAACGCTTTTTCCAGCAGGAACGTTTATCTTTTTTCTACGCTTGGTTGTAGTGTTGGTTATCGCTGTCCGTTTCGCTTCAAGAGATTCTAGAAACGCTGATTGAACTACATCCGGATTGCAAGTACTCCTAGGATACGGCTTAGGACTTCTTCGATATTCAAGGGAAATATACCGCACTTTCGGAAGCCAGCTTTTAAGTTAGCCTCAGCATATGGCGTAATAATTTCCATCAGCTTTAATAACAATGGAGGAAAGAATTGTTTCTGGATATTTGTATTTCGAACACCTCTTCACTGTTTTTTCCAATCTGATAAAACTTGACGCCATGCAATTTTTAAGGGTCGAAAAAATGCCACGTCAAGTGGCTGTGTCAGATGGTACTGTTGGGTGGAAGACAAATTAAGTGTATTTCGTTTTTGCGACACAGATCGAGAAATGTATTGTTATGTGAGAGGATAAGTTGTCACGCAGTAGAACTTTTTTTCCTTCGATCTTTTAAGTCTAGGTATCATCTGGAATTCAAGCTAATCTGTGAATATATTAGCATCAAACCACCAGAGCTACTTGCCTTATAACGGCACCCTTTGGGCCGTTTTCTGCCCAGGTAGTCCACATCTTATGTGCCCTGTAAACTACATATGGATGCAACAGTTCTCCAGCGGCGCGTTACCACAGAACATGATGGAGATAGATGTTTTTGATGCATTTCTAATAATTTTGGATACTTGGTTCCTTTCTTAACCAGGACTTTTTTTTTGCCTGGGTCGTCTGTGAGGTTGGTTTCATCGAAGTTCCAAACGTTTGATGGAGGAACGTCCTTCAACTCACCAGCCAGGTTTTCGAAAAAGCTTCTTAATAACGGTTCATCCACTGCAGCTCGTGTACGTTTGATATTTTCTGCAAAACGTATTGAAATTTCAGGATGTCTAATTATAAAGGCATTTGTCCAATCTTGTCCTGATAAATTATCCTGAAAGGTTTTCACTTCCCTTCCGCAGCGACTTAAATAATTTTTGATGATGTGTCTCAATTCCCTTGAGTTGATAGGGAACCCATATTCTCCCAGCGCTACGATGCATTCGACAAATTGGTGTTCTTCTTGAGACGTGAATATAGGCTGCTTTCCTGGTTTTTTGCAATGGTTACCTTTGAGTTTATTTAAAATTGTTCTTCTTGGAATTTTATACTTTTGTTCCGCTTTTCTGTGTGATATGTCACCACTTCTGATTTCAGCCAAACACATTTGCAAAGTTTCGGCTGTATAATCTGCATACCTCCTCGATCCCACTCGTCTTTTGTATTTTCTAGGCATGCCTGTAATGAAAGGGATCATATGAAAATCATAAAGCAGTCCAAAAATGATATACCGCATACTACAGAAACTATAAAGGAATTTAGTGGGGTTACTTTGCTCCGGTGCAAAGTAACCCCAAATAATTGAAATTTTGCCTGTCTCAACAAGAAAAATATTATCTTACTATTTTATCGTTTATGAAGGGTAAAGTTATTAACAACATATTCTAAAATGATATTAAACTAGTACAAAAATACTCACTTGCCAGATAAAATGAAAATATCCACTGCACACAACAAATTTCCACGTTCAAATTTCTACAGCTTTTTTTGCTACCGATTCAGCCTCAGTCTGTTTGTTTACTAATGCTGGTGGAATGATGGTTTAGGCGGGAGTCTTTTCCAGGGAGGTAACCTTCAATATTTTGCAGTTTGTTTGGTTGCATACCTATCTCTTCTAATAATAAAAGTACGAATAAACTCTTTTCGGTCAAGGGGCAAAGTAACACCCATAGGAGCAAAGTACGGTATACGGTATATGCTGTAATATTTTTTACATCAAACAAAATTGCAGATTAACCGATTGCTGTAACTACATTAGCTGCACTAAATTTTCGTTGATAGCTTTGTCCAACAACACATCATTTGGGAACATATCCTGAAAATCTGATTGAAAAATAACATAAGACAACTTAAGAAAAAAATAATACAGTTCAAAAGTAGTGATTTCCATTAAGTTATGAGCAAAGTATCTGAACCTTCTGATCGTTCGTGTGGGAAATGCATTGTAATTCTAACACTGCACATAGGGTAAATCGAGATTATATGGCCATAGAGGAGAGATGGCCCAACTCGATATTTTCCTAAATAGTTATTAGAGGGCGTTTTTTTCAATAAGGCTCAATGTACTGTTGTGTGATCGTGCTATACTAGAAACTCTGAGTCAATTAACTAAGTTCAAAGGTAAGTTATTTTAAAATTTCTGTTTACATGGGTTCAATAGTTTTTTAATACAATTTTCTACTAGCCAAATTTCATAAAATTTTATTAGTTTTTAACAATCCGTCTGGTGTTTATTTTACCATGTGTGGTGTTTTTGTGTTGCCTAAGCGTTTTACGCGAATTAACGTATATAAAATCTAAATGAGAGTTCCCCAAACTTTTTTGTGTCGTAGACCCCTTGCCATGTTTTTCCGTGTTGGGTAGACCCCCTACTTACCTGATATTGATTTCCTGTAAATTTCTAAAGTGTAGTGAAGTTTAGTGTTAAAAATTAAAGTAAAAACACATGTTAATTTATACATTTATTAATTGAATTTAAATTAAAACTACTCAAAATGAAATTTTGTATCTGTTATGTAAAATATACGTAACATTAAATAAACAGGTGTCTGACCAATAAGTGCCCACATTGGGAATAAGTGCCCGCATTGAAAAGAAAATAAGAGGGATAAAATAAAAAAAAGTGAAAAAATAATAAAAAAAGTTTTTTTACTTAAAATAGTACAATAAGCGAGTTCGTTTATTAATTATAACATAAAACGTATGTTCTACATAATTTCACTGTTAGTTTGATTAAATTCCGCTTCTTATACGTTTAAGTTATCTAAAAATAGGCAAAAAATTAACGAATTTTAGTGTGTACCTATCCTTGAATTTTCAGAATAATTTAAAAAAAATATTTTCTATAAAGGGGGGTTCTTTAAAAAATCACGCGGGCACTTATTCCCAATGCGGGCATTTATTGGTCAGACACCAATAAACATAAAATAACTATAAATAAAATAACATAAGCAATAAGTCAATATTTTTAGTGAGAAGGATGAACCTGATGCTTTAATAATAAATTATCAACATTTGGCGTCATTTTGTAAGGGTTAATCTTAAATCTCCTCGCTAATGAGGTCAGTCTGTTTCTTTTTTTCGTTAGGAGATTGGTACAGCGCTGAACCCCCCTTTCCACTAGGTATGACGATGGAAAGGAAATTAAAAATTTCCTCGCTATATTCCATAATACGGGATAAGTAACGGGTATGTTGTTTTGCAGCCAGAATTGCTGATATCCGTTTTTAAACTGAACCTTAAGTTCTTCGTTTGTACTTAGTTCAGTCAGTTCCTCTTGTATTATGGACATCGTTTCTTCTATGTCACCATATGGATTAATTATCCACGGTGGTATTACCATAGTCAAAATATCCTCAAACCTAGATTCAACATCTGAATAGAGGGCATTTAAATTTGAACGTAAGTTGAAACGTCGTCTTCCTGGCAGCTTGTCTGTGACAAATTGGGGAACTGAGAAAATTAGCCCCGTCCAATATTTTGCTTCATTAGTTTAACTCTGGCAAGAAACGCTGATAAGATGGACTTTGTTTTAATCAATTTAAACTGTCGCCTTGTAATTGCAAATTAACCATATTAAATTTTGTAAACAAATCTGTTAAATAGGCGATGTCTGTTTTCCTCTTCATTAAATTTTCTTTTAAAATTTTATCTTAGTATCCAGAAATTCTAAATAGTCTCAAAAAGTGCAAAAAATCTTGTCAAAACATAAGCCTTTCGACAGCCAGGCGTCACTTCAGTTGTAAGGAGTAATTGACTGGAAAGTGTTCGTTATTGTCTTCACAAACATACGTAAATAACCTGGTATTCAACGCTTTGCTTCGGATTCGGTTTACGCATTCAATGACTAAATGAAGTGATTCATGCTATCTAACACTCCACTTTTAGCAATCTAAATAGTTGTCGATGGATGATGCATGTATTGCTAACAAACACCCTGAACATATTTTGGTTTTAAATAGCTTAATAATCCACGAGAACGTCCACCATGGCAGGTGCTCCATCTGTAGCTACTGATATTATTATTTGATAAAGGAATTACTTTATCAATGAAGTAGAATCCTTCAAAACATTGAAATATTGATTCACCTTTAGCTGTCGGTTATCAAAGTTCTTGCGAAGAGCAGTTCTTCGTAGATTTCCTTGATTCATAATAAACGAACATATGCCCAATATAATGCTGCATTATAGGTAAAGTTGACATCGGTTCAGTTGTATAGAATGGGTCGTTTGCAAATAATTACTTAATAAGCTTTCAATATCAGAACTCATTTCATCAATACGTCTTCCAACAGTATTGTTGCTTAAGGGAATTCTTTTAATGATATCAGATGCAGGTTTGTGTAAAACAGTTTTTAAAACCTCTTCAACGGCTGGCAAAATTAACTTCTCTCCGATAGTATGCGGTTTTCCGGATTTTGCTGTAGGTAACGAGATATTGTAAGACGCCAGCAAACCATCATCATTTCTTTGTGACGTCGAAGCGAACATTCTGTCCAGTGTAGGTCTCTTCTGAAATTTATCTTTCGAGTGTTTGAAAGTATTTCAAATCCTTCTCTGTTTTATCAGGGTGGCATCTTCTCAGATGATCTTGCAGTTTAGATGGTTTCATAGCGTCATTGCCCAAAACTTTGTTGCATAAAAGGCACATAGGCGATTGTTTGTCCGGCAATGATGGAATGAAGCCAAATTTCAAATAATCAACACTGTACTGTCTACATTTCTTTTTAGATTCGGACATGGCATCAGTCATCTGTGGGCAAAATTAAATTATTTAAATAAGACAGAAAATCCAGCAGCTGTATATTAAAAATATTTTTTGATTTTTCCGAAAACATTCCATAATTCGAACATCTTCTTGCAACAATTAGCTCGAATTACGGAGATTGCACTTTAATTATATTACCGATTGCTAAAACTTTCAAAAAGAAACTATTGAGGAGTACTCGTGTAATTTTGCATGATTGAATATTTAACTACTAATAACTAAAGTCATGATTGGCGTAATTTATCTATCTTTGCTAACTACGAGTACAAAACTAAAATTTAATAAAAAATAATGTACTTACTTTTCTCCAGCACTCTCAAACAAAATAACACTGACTCACTATAATTTGTGTGATATACTATCTGTTTATATTTTTTAAAATATTTTCTTAGCACTTTCCTTTTCCAGATTCAGGAAACGAATAAACGTATTTGTCCGACATTCGTATTTATAGAGTGACGAATTGAACAAGTCAGTGCAAGGTAGCGAAGCTCTGAGACTGCGACTCTCAGGTTTTTCAAAATGTATTGCGACCACAAAGCGAATACCCACATCCTATAACTTATACAATTTTATAAACATATATAATAATTTTTTTACTTCATAAGTACTTTTATATATAATGTATATGTTTTGATATTATAAGATAGTATGATGTAAGTAAATAGGTACTATCAGTGTATGTGTTGAGATCCACTATCGTGGACCCCCATATTCATTTCATGGGCCCCCAAATTCTTTTTCGCTGACGTAGACCCCTTGCAGGTTGTCATAGACCCCTAGGGGTCGATATAGACCACTTTGGGAATAAATGATCTAAATCATGCTATGGCCATCTTTCCTCGAAGAAAAGGAGAGATGGCCCACTTATTTCCTATGTAAGAAGGCCATTGTAGATCATTTGTATTTATTTTAGATGCCAAAAATTTATAAAAGAAAATCATTGGAGAGGGCCAAATGGACCGAGGAGCAACTGAAATCTGCAATGAGTACTGTTAAAGATGAGGGATTATCTGTACGTCAGGCTGGAAAAACTTTCGGTATTCCGAGAAAGACATTGGAAAGGCGAAAGTATGAAGACCATAAGAAAAAATTGGACCCAGATACTACTTTCGGAGCTGCACATGAAAACAGACTGGTACGGCATATTAAAGAAATGCGAAAAGTGGATTTCCACTTACTAGAGATGATTTGCGAACCATAGCTTATAAATTTGCTGTTCAGCTAGGCTTGAAACATAAATTTAATAATCGGCTTCAGAAAGCTGGTTAAGTTTGGCTGCATTCATTTCTCACCGGAAAAAATGACAATTTAAAAATATTCCTTCAACTAGTTCTGGCAAAAGAGCAAATTTTGGCAACAAAAGGGCCAAGAATAGGACAAAAATAAGCAAGAAGATCAAAAGAGAATGAAAGCTCTTCGGATTCGCAAGTTTCATCCTATGATAGTGACTCCCCAAGAGACGAGGACGACGATATCTGTTTTGTTTGTGGGAGTTCGGAAAAGACAACGAATTCTGGTTTAGATTTTAGATGCACCGTATGTGGTTTGTGGATCCACAAACTTTGTAGTGGATCAAATTCTGCCAAACAATTTGTCTGTGGCTTTTGTTTGCCGAAAACTTGAGATTAGCAAAATAATGTTATATATATATACATATAATATTGTTTTTGAACTATTAGCATGTTTTTTTACAAAAAATATGTTGTTTTGTTTTTTTTTGTAGTGGTTTATAGTTAATTCACTAAGTTAGTTAGTTTTTTAATGTAAGTTACTTTTTTGGCAAAAGGGGGTATTGAGTTTTTACTTTTTTTCTGTTATATGTAATAATAAAGTCTCATAGGTATTTCACTAGTATTCTCATAAAACTCATTATTTTCTTTAAATTTTATATGGCCATCTCTACTAAACACTATAGGAGAGATGGCCCACATATAAAAATGCCGATATTTATCAACAAAATGAAAAACCATATTTATAATAAAATTGCACAGAACAAAATAATAGTTACCATGCTCTACCCTAAAATATTATTTTTTGTTAAAACCCAATTATTAAAAGTATTACAGACGACTAAAAAAAATATGGCCATCTTTCCTCGGTTTACCCTAATATACCTGTAGGCGAAGGCTTCGAGTTTCGCACCGATAAGTAATTTCCGTTGTTACATTGACTATGTCAACTGGACTATAGAAGCAGCAGTGGCAGCAGGATCAGCGTCTCGGTGCCTGGTTGAAGGCGCCGCGGCGCCACCGACGGGCGCCCGACCGCCGAATTGTTTTTTGCTCGTCTAGTACAATCCAGGCTGGCTCGGAAAAAAGCGCCCAAAGTAGCTGTTTTGCAGCTAGGGATCAGAGACTTACAGTTAGCAAAAGGGCTCCAGAGAGTATTATACATGCATCATCTATAGTATCTGAGTCAACTTGTTATCTTTATTGTTGTTATGAAAATCCTTGTACCCTGACATAAAGTAAAATGAATATCAGTGAAAAAAGTATCGTTGATTTGGATATAATTTAAATTATGCACTTTGAATATGGACGATATATAGCATCGGAGTCAATTTTACTATTGGTCAGCTATCATGTAACAGAGCGAGTATAATTGAAAACTGTCCGATTTTTTTTTAATTATCGAGGATGCCTTTATTACATCTGAGGTGTTTGGGTATAAAATTCACAGCGAGGATTTACAGCAGTTGCTAACGTACAACTTTATATGGAATATATTCTAAATCTTAAGAGCAAATATACGGGGAAATATATGTGTGAAATATATCCAATAGATGCATAGAATAACTGGGGCTAGAAATTGATAAATATATTACCGCAACGGTACAGCCTCCCCCAATCTTAACATGATGATAAATGTTGTTATAAATCATTAGTGTGTTAAGAAGTTATTAGTTTATTTAGTGAGCACGTGCCTTCGCTACAATACTTATGCTAGTCAAATTATAGCAGCTGCTCCGAAAGCGCAACAGCATCTTCAAAGACCACCGTGCAACAATTAGGCGCCAAGTCCTCTTGCATCGATCCGAAATCGGTGGTACAGATGTATTAACTAGCAAACAGCAATGCTTAGACTATTGAATAAAAATAAAGAAAGGAATATATAATTCCACGGTCGGGAGTCTATGGAGCTATATCTGGAGTTCCGCAGGGATCAAACTTGGGACTTTTTATAATTATTATAAATAGTACATTGGATGCTTTAACAGTAGAAAAACCTGGTTTTGCTGATAGTTTAAAATTTTAGATTTAGATTTTGATTTAGAACTGGTGTAACGATAATAAATTAACACTAAATGTAGATAAGTGTAAGGTAGTGAGTTTCACAAGAAACAAATAATTCATAAATTTTAAATATAATATTGATGGAAAGAACCTGATTAGATGTGTGTGATGTGAACAGGGTTTTTTGCTAAGGGAAAGGGGTGGCTTCCGGCAATACCAGCCGCAAAACAGCTACAAGCAAAGTTGGAGGAGTCTATGGTGGTTCTCCGCAAAAAAGATTAAAATTCCATTAGAAAATGGGGGTAGCACCCAAACCAAAACAACTAAACGTAACGTACTATATGAAGGGGTACTACTCCACGAACTAGTGTTCGGCACCTAATATCCCAGAATCTGGAGATTGAACAAATGGCGCTCATACCAAAACCTCAGGAGTAAAGTGACTGCCACGAAACACCTAACTTTATAAAGGAAGGTTCAATGAGTGGCCGTGAAGAAGATACGATACGTTCAACAGGGAACCAAGTAACGGAGAAAAACCACAGTTTTTTTCCAACACAATACTGAATTACTGGGAAAGAAAGATAAAATACGTATGAAATTATACAATCAATAAACTATGAAATTTACAAAAAAACATTGAAAAGGGTTTGGCCTAGGAATGGGCAATCTACCATTAATAAAGAAAAATTCAAATTACTAGTAAGTGATTAAGGCCAGTCGTCCCTACAATTGTAGGGCGCGTTTATGGCCTCCTTGATTTGATAATATTATGTCTTCTTTGGTAAGGTACATGTATGTCCTGCTTTTGATTTCTAGTCTGCTGTCAATCAGAAAGTCAATTGTGATGTTAGGTTATGTTTCTTTTTGACGTTTAAGATTTTTAGACATGAATCAATGCCGAAGGATATTTCTTGCTAATAATGTTGATCATTCAATAATAATTTCCTACATTGAACAAAATCGTCAGGCTGTGGTATCTTCAAGTCCCATATCTGGTATTAATGATCTAAAA